TCGTGTACTTTGTCATGGCTCATTCCAAGTTCCATGTTCGCTGTCCTTGACTCCCAACCAACAGCACATGGGAAGCCAAAGGCTGCATTCACCGGGGGGGTTGTTGATGAACGACCAAGATTGGACCCGCTAGATTTCAAAACTGGTAACCACTGGCCACTAGCTGATGCAGTATAATTTAGTCATTTGCCGAAATGCATCTATCTATCGAAGTCTGATGGCATCATCACATGGGCACCATTGCATGATTTCATCGGCCAGGAGAAGAATAACCATCTGCGGTTGTTCCTTCTAAAGCTACAACACTACAACATGCTGCAACTGGCAACTGTCAAACACCTCAATGGTAAAACTCATCACTATGGTTGTGTTTGTTGTGCGGGGAGGTGTCGCCTAGAGTCACACCCAGATTCCCACCCAAACAAGCCTTCCAGAGATTGAGTTTTGACCTCTGCTCTTCTTGAGCAAAGGTCTCGCTCCACCTCAGAGCCGAAGCCAGCTCAGCCAGCTCGAGCGACAAGAAAGGCCGTGCACACAAATGGTGCTGCAGATTGCAGATGTAAATAAATGGTGATGTGAGGTGTACTGTCAATACCAATTTGTCAACATGTACTGTAGTTATTGCCAATATGTACCATAGTACAGCTAAATGCTGCTGAAGGAAGACATTGCAGGAAGATTGGAGATAGAGTTTAGTAAGTAGATGAAAGTGGATGCCTCGAGCTGATTGAGCAGCTATGAAAGAAACTTGCGAGGCCTCCTATAAAAGTATCTTAAGCACAAACCATAGGTTCCTTTCGCACGTGTGCGCGCGATGTGCAAACTGAAGCCAGCCTCTCATTCTGCAGCAGTATCACGGTGGCCTCCCATGCCTCTCCAAGTGCGGACCAGCAAGCCAAGTCTTTGCGACTGTTTGGAAGCCACAGTTCATGTCTTTGTGACGCGTATGTCCCACAGCCATGATCCATGATACCATCGATCCACAAAGTGATTGGTTTGGGATGCCCACACCATATCACACCATCATCAGTTCTGTGATATCCCTCGAATCTGTTTGCGAATCCATGGCATGTCGGTAATTACCGTTCAATTGTATAGTTGCAGTGGCCTCGTGTGACATGAATGTAGAGTGCCTGCTTGGCAAAGGAAGCTTTCTCGCACAAACGCAGGAAGAAGGGCCTTGGCACTTTGATGACCCCGCATGTGAAGAGCAAAGCGAGAGCTCACTCACTCGCTCGCTCGCTCAAACAAACAAACAAACAAACAATCAACCAAACACCTCACCTCAGTGTCACCTCACCTCACCTCAGCCCAACTCAACTCAGCTCAACTCACTAACTAACTCACTCACTCACTCGCTCTCTCCCTCTCTCTCTCTCTCTCTCTTCATCGCTGTGCAATCTCTCTTCGTCAGTCCCAATTATTCCGGGATCCTTAAGAATGCATGAATACACCACAATCCAAGCCAACACTGACCAGGTGGCTTTGCAGCTAGGTGGCCCTACCATGCGGCGATATCTGAAGGCACCTGCGGAGATTCAAGAGCTGAGCGATCTGAACAAATTGTTTGGACATGTGTTGACCATAAAGAAACAGTGCTGCTCTCTTGGTTTCAAGATTAAAAAAAATGAAAGTGTCTATAGTAAATAAGCATCTGGAAGCCAGCCTTTTGGATTCCGATTTTGCCACCCTACTTTTGGATGAGTTGAATTGCAAACTGCAAACGAAGCTTACAATGCAGGAAGGCACACCAGCGGGTTGTTCTTCACTTGAAACCCATTGACACCAGGAACTGCCAGCATTCTCGAGTGACCTACTCAACCTGAAAGCTGAGAGGAAGGGCCAGCACGCTTGACTCGGTCAGTCCGAAGATTGCAGGAGGCTCAATGAAATTCGGTTTCAGGGGTTGCACTTACACTCTGAAAATTGATCTTAAAGTTATGAAGATTATAGGGCAGGTGCTTGAAACAACATTGCTGGCCTCATCCAACAGCGCAGGAGCCTTCTTGACCTGTGCGGTCGTCTCCGGAAGAGCAAGAAGAACGCGCTTGCAGACATGATTTGCAAAGGTGCCCAAGTGTTTTCTGTCGAACCCCATGTTCAAAGTACCAGAGACTATATAGTCTCATCTTGTTTCGGGGGAGTCTTCCACAAAATGAACGCCGTACGGAGGACAAAATGAACAGAATTCAAATATGACCTCAAACATATCCTTCACAAAGGCACTATTTATTTTTTGGCAACTTTTACATCCACATCCACCCCGGTAAAATCACCCGACCCATGACTGACCCCGATATGACCTCTGCGAATCCCCGCTTCAGCTTGGTCAGGATGCTGGTGCACCTGCTGCCATGGCTCGTGAATATCATCCCAATGCGCAGCCATAGCGATGTTGCCCTGTGAATGACTGCCTTCAACCTGTTTTCCAAAACGATTTCTTCTTGATGTTGCTGAGGAGCTCAGAGATGAAGCTCTGATCATCCGCAGCACCCAGGCTTGCAGCCTTCAAACAAAGCAACGTGTGAAGGCCAGTGGGGGGAGACTGGGAGACCTGTTGGAAAACCCTGAGCTCCGTGAAACTTGATGAAACCTCTGCCAGAAGGGTGACGAGTTTTCCGCTGGTGGACGGGATCCTGCACTGCCCAGTAGCCATTTCAGAACTGGCAGTGGATTGGATATCCATACTGGTGTTGTGGTGCAGGATCGAGTGTACCACTAGTAATGAGCAGTACCAAGAGCTTTTGCTGTTGGGAAATGACACAGGACATCGCTCAACAGCTGACCGCTTAACAGCTGACCGTTGTATCCAGCTTAAAGGTCGCTTGGCCTCTTGCAAAATTCTGAGGTCAAAAACTCCAGCTGCTTGCAAAACAAATCAAAAGAAGCTGGGCCCCAGAATTCCACGTGACTAGTTGATATCCTAGGGTTCCAGAGCTGCAAGGTTTTAGAGTGCCAAAGGAATGTCAGAATGCCTACATATCGCGCCCGCTTATCTGTGGAATATAGAAACCTCGACATGTTTGATCTTCAGGGCTGAGAACTGAAAGCGAGATGCAACAATCTAGGCACTAGTCTAGACAGAACTTTGCTGCAAGGTCGGAAGATGCGGCGTCCTTGATTGGGCGGCACAAACTCTTCTATTTTTGACAGTCCGCAAGTTCCTGGCCTCCTTCAGCGCATCTGTCAACTTGGCCATCAGGCGTACGCATCAGCAAGGGGACATGCTGCCGCTTAGGCTTGGAGTTGCACGTACGCATGGGTCCTGTTGTCGCTGGGCTCCGTCCCCAGGCACCGAACGATAATCTGTTCTGCGGGTTGCACCATCGGTCGCCTCTGATAAACAAGGTACACAGCCAGCCCGAGCACCCCTGTGTGATCTTCTTAGTCTTGATTTGGGAGCCCGAGCACCCCAGTGTGTGACCTTTCTCACCTGCTTCAATTCAATTGGTTTGCCTAGTGAAGGCACTGCTTGAGGCGGTTGCAGGCTGAGCCAATGGCTGACCATTCAATTAAGCTCTTCTCTTGAGGATTGGTTGGTATCAACGCTGCGTTCAAAATGGAGGAAACATCACTTGAAAATGTTCTACTCTTGGTAAGGCTGTACATGTCTACTGTTGGCTGGACATGTGCATCCACCAGGGGAGTCAAAGGGAAAACACATGGTGGATCCAGTGGGTTCTTGCATAGAATGATAGGTGGTGGGCGGTGTTGCAAAACATGCCTGGCCTGTACGTCCTAATATCCCCCCACATCGGTAAAGCCGTTTGTTGTGTTGCATGCAGTCATTCGCACAAACACTCGTGGCTTACATTCTGTGAAGCTAGCATGGCACCACTCTGATTCTGGCCACGGTATGAAAGAATCAGACGAAAACGCAGGTGGCTCCATGCTAAGTCCACGAAGCAAATAGCCAGACTGAATTGCACAGGCCTGTCCACTTGGCAGGTGGCTAAAGGCCCATTGGCATGGATCATTCGGCAAAGAACTAGCTCCAGACAAGGCTGATGGTGGCTTTCATGGGTTGTCCAATCAATGGATCTTCCGATTCCAGCAAGAGAAAAGTGAACGGATTCACTAAAGGAGAGCTTGTTGAAGGGCATGCATGGCATGCTTGATGGATAAAACCAAGGGACCCGTGATCCAATGAAACTCCCGTGATCCCCGGATGACTGGGAAAACTTAGGAAACAGCTTGAAGCTACATACGTCAAGATTGTTGAGCTAAGGAGGGAAACTCTTCAAGTTCGCAAGTAACTCCCACATCACACGTGTCGGTCAGCAGGAGACTTTGTTGATGTCTAATTCTGACATCAAGAGCCACAAACTCTGCAGGGGTCCTTGTAGGTTATCTTTACCAGCTTGCTCTGGTCTGCAGCCAACCTCTGGTATGCTGTAGTTCGCATCCAGGAGCACGATCGTGCTAATGTTCAGGGGTAGATGATCCAAAGATGCCTCAAATCCCGAGTTCAGTGACTTGCCATCTGAATCACTCCAAGTACTGTGATTAGTTCTGTGCAGCCACCACAAACTGCTCTGACCCCTGGAAGAAATGTGAAATATGGCCTTAAAACAAGCCCACCAAAGCAATTTTAGTTCACTCTTGCCTTGGGCTTAGCATACTTTCTTGGCACATCCTGTCCTAAGCAGCGACAAATATCGACCCCATCTCTTCAGCCTTCGTCTGGTCACCGAGCGCTCGCGAGCACTCGAATTGGGAGGCAGCGCAAGCCGCCCGTCATCGTGCACGTGCCAAGCAGATTTAAGGAGATTCTGGAGGAGGATTTAAGGTACCACTTTGGGAGGCTTGGTCTCAAAGGAGGATTTTCTGGGGCAACGGAGAAAAGGAAAAAGGATGAAAAAGGGTACTCACATTTGAAGGATTCCCATGCCGGTGGGAGGGTATGTCAAAGGAATCCAAAATGTCTTGGCTAAATCCGGACTCGTATGCAAGTGGTGATCCTTCAAGTGGTCATTGGAAGACTAAGTGAGATCCTTTTTGGAAGACCAACAAACTCCAAGCAGGTGCTTGGCATCCTCGGTTCAGAGGCAGCATCCTTCTCTCACGCACCAGCTTCGCTGTAGCGGTAAGCGACAGCGCCATCAACCTGACGATCCGGTGCCTACAGTCTCACGTGCAGCAGCTAGACACATGGTGTCCCGTGCACCTGGAGCTGTAATTGATATCATCCCAATCACGATCCCAATTTGTTTAAACCACTAGACCTTTAGCCATTCGTCTCGAAACGGTGAGGTGGGGTTGTCAAACCACCAGACCACTTGCCAAAGCCGAGAATCGATCAAGCAGGTGAGCAATCGATCGGTTCAACGCCTTTTCAAGCCCAATTTGGGACCTTTGGACCAGAATCGATCAAGCCGGTTCTCTCATCGAGCGAAGAACGACACTGCACAGCGTTCACAGCTCCCTTTCTTCTCCCTTTCCTTCACAGCGCAAAGCGGCACCGGATCCGGGCCGGGGCACCTGGTGAATCTTCGTGGTAAAGGACCGGAGCTTCACCTCCTCACTGCCACCTGGCCGGCACGGGAATGCGGTCAGCCCAGCCCGCGGGACGTCGGTAGGCTCAGGTAGACCCAAAGTTCGCTGGACCTCCTTGGTGACTCCCCCCCAAACGCCTGCAGCACACACTGCTGGCTGCCAGATGAAGGATGGGGGGGTGTTCTGAACAGTTCTCTCAATAGAAAACTTGGTCCGATAGCTGGAAAGGACATCGACACCATCATGTGGGTAGGACGCTACGGCCAAGTAGCGTGACATCCAACCAAGACGAATCCCCAAAAGAAGCTTAGGAAGATAGACAAATCTGTGAGTTTGGGGAATCCCCATTTGTGAGACATCCAAAAGAATTGTCATCACACAAAAGAAAGATTAAATATATATATATATAACAAGTTGGTGTGTCCCTCTCGGGTTCGCATTGCTCGTGCTTAAGAGTCGTTTCCTGTTTGCTCTGAGGAACTAGGTGCCTGTGTGTCAACAACACCTTGGACCTACCGACGTGACGCATCCGAAGCGCCGGTCAACCACCGTGTTGGCTGTGAAACAGATGTGTCAGTGCACATGACCAGCAGTAGACACAGCCGTACTTGGGATCCCACCAACGATGTACTTGGGATCGCTCTCGCCCCAGGCAGTGGGCACCTCAAAGGACTGCACAAAACAACTGAAGCAGATTGCGGAGTTCTGTCAATCAAAGCTTGTGTGAAAACCCTCCAGAGTTTCTGTATGTGGTGGGGACAAATCTGCCTGAGCAGCCCCATCGGCAAGTTGTTGTGGAATCTTCAAGGAAGGCAGTCAGAAGACAAGAAGCGTCAAGTTCGTTGTTTCTTCGTTGTTCCAGCTCTCCTTTCTTACGAATCAGCATCGGAATCATCAGAGACGTTTTGCACCTTGTCCCTTCAATTCGTGTTTTTTCCCCAAATCAGGAACCTTTTTCAAGCAAGAGGGGCAACAAGAACCAAAGATGGCTCTCTGATGCTCTCTGGCTCTACCTGGAAATCTCCAATCGGTGCCCAATCAGTGCAAAAACGGGCCTCGGCCGCTCGATCGGTGTAGATCAAAAGATCGAAGCTGCAGGGCCTCAGTCACCGAACGTGAGGAGTTTGGTCTCAGCGGTCGTCACAAAAGAAAAAGGCGAACGCGATCGCAGCTGAAGAAAAAGCATGCCCAAATTGCCAAAAGCTTTAATGAACTGTAATGTTTGACTATATGAAAATGCTTGAATTAAAGGTGGTTTTTATGTTTGACTGGGACCGGTTGCGACAAGGGATGTTCAGTTTGAACAGTGTTCAATTCATTGTGCTCATATTGACACCACCAACACACGAGAGGTAGTCCGCTGAGTCCGCTGGGTCTTTGCACTACTGAGGTCCCAGGTTCAGTTTTCAAACACCTTGCTTGTGCTGTGGTTTCTTTATATGCATGTCCAGTTCTTGCTGATGATGCGGGGCAGAAGTGCATCATGTAACGGCCACACGTCTGACAATTCCACATTAACAGAATGTGCGGCAAACAATGGCAAACATCATCTCCAAACCTGGACCTTTCTGTGACGAGCGCGTTCTGAACCCGGTGAGGGAGATGACATGGAAGCAGTCTCTTGGACGCCTCGGTGGGCTGTGCTTCCCACTCATCCAGCAATGGGAGGAAGGTCACCGATGCCGTGATCTGTCGGATGATGGCCTGAGCAACAGCGTGGCCAACAGCGCGAGTGTTCATCAGCGTGACAGCTTTTATCTCTTGACAAAAATCCAGGGTGCCAGGGTGTCCCAAGTCTGCCATCTCCCCACCTTTCTTTCTTGGGGATCCTGCCAAGGACAGGAGTGTCCATGAGCCTCTCAAAGTCAACCCTTGGCTGCCTCGGGCCATTGGGTTTGGACCTCACCACAACTGAGCGACCCTTACCGACCATCAAAGACCTTTGGAAAAACAAAGAGAGAGAGAGAGAGGGAGAGAGAGAGAGAGAGAGAGAGAGAAGATTGAATGTTAAAAAAACAAAACAACACACTTTGAGATCCCCTTGTTCACCACAGTCGCCCTGCACGTCGTCGTGCTCTATTTTGTCGCTCCACGTCACGAAGACGGAGCGACCAAGGACACGTCACGGCTTTTCCCCCGAATGACACGGCTGTGGCGAAAGCAGAAACGCCGAACGGTCGCTCTTCATCTGGTCCATCGGACCGATGAGAGGAGCCTTGGAGTTTGGTGGTGCCTCCGGCTGCGACATGCGAAATACCTACCACTTACATCAAAGACCACAATGAATATCAAAGAATCAGATGAAGAACGTGAGATTCGTCATGGTTCATCTGATTTCGGCTCGCCTCATCGGGGGTGCACAGAGAGGTTGTTTGGTGATTGATGGGTCACGACGGTCACGAGTCATGGGCAACGATCAACCCCCCTAGCTTTGCAGCTGGAGCGAGAGCACAACACCCATCAGAGCGCTCGTTGCACCGGCCACACCATCAGAGCGCTCGTTGAGGCTCGGCTCCTCATGTCATGCAGAGAGTAGACATCTCCGTCTCACTCGAACGCCAGGGACTGGCACGAATTCTGTCTGCAAGGCCCCTCCAGTGCTGAAACGCCATGCTCCTGATCACTTGGAAGCTCACACAATCATGCTACCGAGTCAACTCACCACAAAACCGTCAAAGGTACCGCTATATAAATTGCCGGCAAGCCTTCAGACTAGTGATTCTGACATTGTTCGTGTCATCAGTATGTTCTCCCCATTGACTAACCACAGCACGACGGCAGCCTCGCAGCCTCTCGCAGCGATCCGAATTCTCAATACGGTTGGAGTTCGCGAGCACAAATCTCGTGCCACGTCACGCGCCGAGGATGAAAGTCCAGGACAACAGCGGACCTCATCGCATCCTGGAGCCCAAATCACGCGTCTTTCATATTCATTGGAAGCCTTCGATCGTGCCCTGTCGTCCCTTTGTCGACCAAAAATTTTCTGATGATGGAATATCCCTAGCTTGGCCAATCTGCCCATCTCAAACAATAAATGTCAAACTGTCAAATCTCCTCGCCAGCTCCTTCTCTAGAAATTGATGCACCTTACAACGGAGGCAATCAATGCAACAACCTAAAGTGCAAAAAAGAACCAAATCCAAAACATGAGACAACCTTGGATTGGATGGTTGCCTGCTGTCTCCTGATTAGTCATATTGGTTAAACTCGGGAGACATGAAGCTGTCACATGGATTTGCACTGTAGCGTTCAAAAGCCAACCCCAAACCCAAAGCTTGAAAATGACAAGGTAGGTATATAGTATGAGGATGTATGAGGATGTATGATGCCCGAGCCATATTCACCGTCTTCAAAAATGAGCTCCCCTCTGTCGCAGTGGTGCCACCAGATCTCAGCTTCAGACTTTGATGGAGATGTATGAGTACTCGAGGGTCGCATACTTCCGATAGACGGTGCTTTTGCATGCGTCCGGCTCCTGATGCCCCAAGAGCCGATGGTGAAGGGTGGCCCTCAGGGCTGTTTTTGTGCACTGAGCTTGTGTATGGTCAAGGTACTAGAGCTGTGGTTGTCTATTAGGCACCCAATGAAAAAGGATTAGGAAAACATCCCCACCGGCGACTTGGAACAACACAGATTGAACAAAAACAACGAGCAATTTCACTCACCAGCATCCTGGTCACGTGGACTAATTGTGTTAGATTGGAGAGACCTCAATGACGAAGATGGCCTTCACAACGCCTTCTTCGGAGGTTTTGCCAAAGACCATCACCATCTCTGCTGATCACTATCAACAGCCCTTTCCAGTGACACATCCGACGCTGAGGCCACCGGCCGCCAGAAGAGCGTAGAGCTGGCGCATGGCCAGGCATCTGAGGAGCGTGACCGGTCGACCAAGCGGGAAAAACAGGTGGACAACAAAAAAATGGGAGCCAGTTGTTGCACACCCTCACTTTGCAATAGGATCGAATTGTTAAACGTCCGTTTTGGTCAACCTATAATATGGTGGGTGGATTCAGTCCTTGTTGGAAAGGGTGCAGTTCTGTTGTGATCCGTGCCAAATCCTGGTAGGAACCTTTGTGTGTGTTCACTGCAGGGAAATGATATATATATATATGTAATATTATATGATATTCCATTATATATCTTTAACCTTCTTAAAGGAAGCACAAGGGCATGCTAAAGTGTCCCAAGTCAGAGAATTTTGACTTGTTTCACATCTAGTCTATTGGGTTCTATCTTCAACAGCTGCTTCAGCACAATGGGGCCCAGTGGCTCAGCACAATGGAGCCCCTTGTCACTCCGCTAAGTGTCGAGGTGGGCTCTGGCTCTGGAACGAAGCGGACAGATCAAATGAAAACTTCACACTTGAATGTTTGGAGTGACAAGGACCTCCGAAAGGACCAGATGTGCAACTGCAACCCAAACAACAGGAACTGCAGGTTCCAAATCTGAAATAGATTAGATACTGCGCAACGCCTACAGCCAGGGGATGACCCAAATAATTCTAAACCAACTGGCAAGGCTGGGCCATGTCTATGCTATGCCTGCAGTGCGGGCAAGGCGCAACTGCGTCCAGTGTCGATCTGTGGGCAGCAAACCCTTCATGTGCTGCTCGCATGACCTGGCCATCGTGCGCAGTCATTAGAGTCTTTTGCATTTCATGTTGAAGCGGCCATGCTCGTGGCAAGAGGGTCGAGAAACATGTCCTTGCCATGCAAATGAGGAGCATTGCTAGTGATAGCCAATTTGGACACCACAGAAACTGCCCTCCTGCGTAACCTTGAGCATGTTTGTTATGTGTCGAAAACATTCGAAAACAATGGCCATGCTGCATCTTGCTAAAAGAACCCTTCTGAATCTAGAATGGAAGAAGACCTTAAACACATACTACGACAATAACTTCAGCATCTATAAATAAACATATATAAATGATTCTGAATGCATTGGCAATTACATTTGAATGCACGAAGCTTTGACCAGGTGGATGAGTGCATCCTGGGGGACACCAGTCAGACTATCTTTGATCGGTCCTTTGATCCTACACTGGGTTGTACAGCTGCAATGACACAACGAAGAGTCTTTATGTATCTTTATTCAGACTTGTCCTTGTTCGTTCTCCGAGTGGTTTTAGATTTCGCAGCTCTGTTGGAAGAACAGACGATGATCGCCCCAATCGGCCACCCTGTTTACCCGCCTGCCAAGCAGCACACCAGCAACCACACATGCGCAAGCAGCATGCACGGTGGGAGCCCAGCGCCCTGCAGCAGCCTAAAGGGAATTCAAAAATATGTTCCACTCGAATCACAAGGTGCATTGTATCACATGCGTCTCCAGCATTGTGGGAAAGAAACGCTCAATAACTTGAAGATCACAGCCATTGACTTCGCACCCTTCGCACCCTAGGCCATGCTCCAAAAGCAGGTTGAAGGACCAGTCAGTAGCCTCACACGTTTGATGACCTGCTGAGTAACCCAGTTGCTTGTACTTTTGAAGAAGCCCCGGTCAATTCTCAGTCCTCCCGGAGTTTCGGGGCCCACTGGGGCAATCACGCAAAGTAGTGTCATCCTTGGTGATCGTTGCATATACAAGAATTGTGCGCCCAAAACACAATCGCTAAACACGCCGAATTGTTGGAATTGAAATCCAGCAGCTGGATTCATGGATGCGGAAGTCCATGGTATGATTCCCTCTCTAGATGAAACAAAGCCTATCCGGCCAGGGCGGACAGAGTCAATGTTGAACGGCCTTGTGGGAGGGGTTGTGGAGAGGTTCTCAGCTCCCGCAGCTTTCACTGGCATTGCTCTCCATCTGAGGCAAGCGCTCACACAGGTACTCGGAGGCTCCCATCAGCCTCTCCTGCACACCATCTAGCGACTTCAACGTCTGGACCTCCAAGCAGGACTGGGTCCAAGCAGATCCAACAGCCTACCTCCCGCAGAATCGAAGAGCGCCAACACTGATGCCTAACAGTGCGGATCAATGTGGTGGGTTGCAATTGATGCAAGCAAGACCAACATCCGCGTGGCTTTGTCCCTTGAGAAAGCAATGGCCTAACAATAGATTCCTCTATGCTATCCAAGTTTAAGAGACCCCATACAGATCGCAAAAGCCCCGCCCTGTTTTGGTGCGTCGCGTAAAATCACCCTTGAGTCCTTGTCCATCTCCGGGTCCACCAAGCACACACATTCAACAAACCTCAGACTGATGAACTTGGGTCAAGACTCCTCCTATTAAGAGCAGGAGCCAGAAGCACGAAGAGGCCATCAAAGGGCAACATGTCCAACCAAACAAATGCAAAGTAACTCACATTGGTTGAAGCACCGAGATGTTGAGGTCAGTCAATGCCGTTGGCTTCAAACCTTTGTAGAGTGTCAGAATGGGTGTGTTTCGCATTACTGCATTACGATGTCGAAATGCACCAAGGTGACTACCGTGCACCCTCACGTGCCTCCCTCTACCAGGTTGACCGGACGCTCTGCAAAGCATGGTGACCATTGTTACTCATTGAGCCCAAGAGTGTTCTACAATCAACCGCCTTACACCGTTCAATTCATCTCCGATCTCCAGATCTCCGAGATTTGCCATGGGAATGCCATGTGCTCCGCCGTGGGGCTCCCGGCCATTGTCGGTGGTGCTCTGCCGTGGGCCTGGAAGGCTTGGTCATGTCGGCTGACGGTCGACCGCTGCTTGCCTGCGATGCTGGA